CACCCACGTGGCAGCTAACAACTGTCTGTAACTCCAGTCCCAGGGGATCCAACAGCCTCTTCTGACCTCTGGGGCATTGCATGACATGGGTGCACTCACATACATGTAGGCAATACACTCATACACATAAGATAAAAATAATAAATATTTTAAAAAATATATGATTAAAAACATAATACAGCTTATCTCCAAATTTATAAGATCTCATGTTTCTTCGAATTGTGTTTATAGACTTTTTTGTTCAGTGTGTTGAGGGACAGTAAGACCTGGCAGTCAGGTGTTTGAAGCCCTCTTTGACCATTTCCTTCAGTTTTCCTTCAGAAGACACTGTTGGTCTTTAGGGTACATAACAATAAATTACTAATTCCCCATCTCAAATTTAATTTTGAACCTGGGATATAGCCTAGTGGTAGAGAGTTTGCCTAGCATGTATGAGTCCCTGGGTTGAAACTCCTCAGCCGTATCCCAACAATTAAAAAGAAAAATTTTCTTATTTCCAAGTATTTAAGATATTGTTGAGGTAGTGGGGAACTGGTCTGGGGTTAAGCAGTGCAGGTCTTTTAAAATAAACCTTTTTTGAATAGATAATAACATGGCACAATAGTGTATGTGAACAAAAGATAAAAGGACTTTGGAAACAAAATCTTTCCCCCTGATTCTCTAGTTTTCTTCTAGATATAAAATAATGGAGTTTCTTACTCATCTCTACCCCAAAGATATTCTGTTTACAAACCCAAAATATATGTATCTATACTATTGCCCTTCCCAGATCATAGCATATTTTAAATTAGTTGAATGTTACTCTCTTTCCAGAATTCAGACCTTTAAAGGTACATCAAGGACATTTGGTTATGTTGTTAAGAGTATCATAGAGTGTTCTTGAAAGTTCATGCACCAGATACCATTGCTGAACTCTGATTGGGGTATCAGGAGCTAATACCCAAGGGATTAGTTAAATTAAGTTATGGAATCCCACACAGACTCATCCTTAAACTGTTGGCACTTTGTTAGAATGTATCTATGTGGTATGGGTGTGATTGGTGTTGAAGGTGAACTCTGACAGAATTTGTGCCAAAGATGGGGGAGTGGTGCTAGAATATCATCTGTCTAGATGCAGAAGGAAAGCTCCTAACCAACTGCCTAACTGCTTGAAAGAGGGTATTTTTGAGTTATGTGAACGACTGAGAACATTAGCACTATTGGGAATGTGATCATGTGGCTCTTAGAAGAAATAGTGGTGGAAAGTCTGTTCCGCACAGCCTGTTTCCCTTGACTTCCTTCTGCTCTTCCTGAGTACTAACTGGTGTAAATTTAAGTCTCAATTTCACATGATTGTGAATTATCAAGAATTGAGAAACTTCCATAAGAACCTTGCTTAATTGGTAAAGTCCAGAAATGGACTGTTGTCGCTCTCTTGTGTGCCGTTGATGAGCGTGGTTTTCCTGGTGGGCAACTTCTGCTACTTGTAACTTTCCATGGAATTTTTCTAATCTTACTGTGGTCCTTCCTCTGGGTGATGGGTCCTGGACAGCATAGCTTTCCTTCTTCAAAGGTAACCTCCATTACTTTTCTTTGCTATATACTGTCTTGTCTCCTGTTGAAGAGATTATGTGCTCTATTCTAATGCTGATAGAACATATTTTTAAGATTTTTGTTTTGTTTAGCAATCAGTATGAATTGAGTATATCCTAAGTCCCTTGGCTTCCTATGAACTTCTTATACCCACAACGTCTTACTGCTGAAACATCAAAAATTATTTCTATCTTTTTCGTCTAATACAGAAGCAAAGAACCTACCTGACTGCTATAAAATTTTTCCTTGGTCTTGATGCCTTGCTGTCCTGTCCGTGGTGCTGCTAAACTTGGAGGGTCAGTTTGTTTCATGGTCGCTCTGCTGGCTCTTGTCTTCCTCAGTCTGCTGCTTCTTGGGTAGCTTGGGAATTCTGTGCTATGGTGAGATGTCTGGATACAATTTGTAAGTCAGCCTACACAGCCAAACCATGTGGCTTAAAGTAATTTTTATCCGTCTTATTTTTTACTCTTAGGCAATGCGGAATATCAATCCCAGCACAGCAAATTCTCCAAAATGTCAGGTAGGCTCTTATACGATGTTTTAGCGTTGGGGGACAAAAGATACTAAATTAGGAAAGAAAGATATACTGTGTTTCAGGGTCCTGTCCTTATTGGAGATGAGCCAGAGTGGACCACTTTGAGCCATCTTTCTCCCAAGACACTTAGCTACTCTTCCAAGAGTGTGGACTGTCTGGCCTGCCCACTCCTCCTGGGAGTGTGTGGTGTTCCCCGAGACTCTGAGGTCTTCTGCCTCACTGGAAATGGAGTATATCTCAGTGGTACATTCTGTCAGCCTCAGAAATGTGTGCAATTTTTATTTGAGCAGCTTAAAGTAGCTTTTCTTTTCTTCTCTTTTTTCTCCTTTTGTTTGCTTTAAAAAAAAAAGTTTTAAAAGAATCAATAAATTGAACCCTAGCAAAGAAAGTAGCATTAGCTTATAGACTTGAGCAGGCTAATTTGGGAAGTCATGATGAATCATACAATGAGGAAAATAAGAATTATTCTTAGCGGACCTTCTGAAGGGGAAGGCTTTCGAAATGTCAGAACTTTGTAAAGAGAGAGCTCTCTTGTTAGTGTGTTTCATTCAGGTCTGTTTCTCCCCGATGAACTCCAGGGTGTACGAGTCACAAAAGCATCAGATGTTGATGGGAGATGGTGGCTATTTTCTCATTCTAACAAGACTCCTGTCTGAGACACTGGAATAATCTCATTCTGAAACCAAAGTGATTCTGTATGTTTAAAGGAAGGAGGAGCTCAAGGGTCTGTACTTGTTGGAGATGAGCAGACACAGCCGTAAAACAGCTGTCTTCCTCCCTTTCGTGCTTTCTTGTTTTAGGCCTAGAGTTTTCAGCAGTACTCCTGCTTCAGCCTCGCAAGTGCTGGATTGCAAGTGTGCGCTCCCACGCCTGCAGCCAAATACCTCCTGTTCTTTGTTGCTCTTCTGTACTAGACTAAACCAGTGTGCTGTTCGGAATCTGCTGTAGAAGTGGCATCTGTCAGTGACGCTGACTGAGTGCTGTTAACTTGGTCTTTGGAACACCCTGCTGATACTCAAGATAGCGCCCTCATAGAGACCAGTTACCTTTATAAGAGAGCAAACTATTTCTCTTTGTCTCATAAATGCCTGCATTTAACCAGAACATCAAGTCAGGAAGTAACTCATAACCCCACTCCTGTAGAACACAACATTTGGTCTTTTTTGGGTACAGAGTTTCCCTGTAGCCCCAGCTGGTCTGGAACTCACTATGTAGACCAGACTGGCCTTGAACTCACAGAGATCCACCTGTCTCTGCCTCCCAAGTGCTGGGATTAAAGGCATGCACCAGACCAAGAACATACGTTCTTGAGATGAGGGACTCTGCTACATTTGACTGTCAGAGACAGCATAGCACATAGCATCAGATCTTACAACATGAGGACAGTCTTTTCCTCTGAAGTGTTTCCTGAAGGAGGCTGTTAGTGGTGATCCTGAGGTGGAAACTAAAATAAGAGCCAAAGTTAACTCAAGTCAGGTTTGGATTCTAGTAGAGGGTTAAAGTTGGGGAGCTCAGGTCCATGGAGTCTCGTAGACTCTTGAGCATTTGTGTGTGTTTCTCTCATTCTACATATTTTTTCCATGACCTTAAGAGAGAATGCACAGAGGGAGAAAAGTGACTTATCTCAGCTATCCTAAGGGCGTGGCTATCACTTCCTTAGCAAAAGCCAGAGTAATAAAAGCACAGTCAATTTATTTTATCAGTGTTTTATGTGATCCTAGGAACCTTCAGAAATGAAAGCCCAGAGATATAACGAAAATAATTTATACTTCAATTCAGTAAGTAATAGGCAGCCACAGAGACATCTGATTGGGCCGGAGGGTAAGGCCCAGTGGTGACAGACTGCATGTAGTCTAACCTAACCTAACGTTAAGACCTTAGGTTCAGTTCCATGTTGGCCTCTGAATGTAGCACAGGACTCCTAGGATGGGGTCATACAACATCAGGGAAGGTGTTAAGAGAAGTTCTAAAGAGAAAATGACAGGAGATTCAAAGTCAGAAAGTGATTTCCAGTCTCGAAGAACAGAATATGGGAAGAGTATAAGATTCTTGAATACTCTTCAAAGTTGTGGCTTTGTTTGGTTTTACTTTTCTAGTAGAAATTAGCTATGTGACCAAGACAGGGAAATGGCATCATTCATTGGCATTACATACCTTATACACTGGGAGGTTAGAAGGTTCCAGACCTCCAGAATGTGGACTGGTTTTGTTCTGTAGTTATTTGGGGAGACCATGATGCTCTGACTGGCCTTGAACTCCAGGCAGTTCTTAGGGTTCTTCCCTGAGTCTGGGATTTACAAGTATGAACCGCCACTTTCAGAGCATATCCTTTTTATTTGTTTGTTTGTTTATTTTGGTCTTTTTGAGACATGGTCTCCCTGTAGCCCCAGCTGGCCTGGAACTCACTATGTAGACCAGGCTGGCCTCGAACTCCCAGAGATCCGCCTGCTTCTGCTTCCCAAGTGATGTGATTAAAGGTGAGTGCCAGCACGCCCGGCTCAGAATGTTTCTTTAATTACTAATTCAGAAGCTGTTTTGAAGTGTTTTTGATAGAGTTAACTAATGATTATGTTCTGGGATTCTGTACCATTCACACTAATGTCCCTGTGGGTTAATGAAAAATCCTAAGACATGTGACTTGAATCACACTGAAAGAGAAAGATGGACCTTTAAAAGGCATTTTTATATCTTTGTAATTAAACATGAAAATTATCAATTATTACAGTGTGTTTACAAGATTTGGGGAGAATTTGTCCTTAATTAGGAGCTTAAGATTTTTCATTTTATTAATTCACCATTTTTATGTTTCAAAAGCAGTTTCTGCTCTCAGAAGGAACTCTGGCACTGGCTTTGCGGGAATGAGCGGCCACTGCCCAGCTTTCCCGCCAGATCCTTCTCACCTGGCGCTGCTGCTTTGTAACTGGAGAGGTTTGAGCCTGGGCTTAGCACATCCCAACTTCTGTTTCAAGGTCTATTGAATGAGAGGTTTTGAGGAACGATTGTCTTCCTGCATGTGTTCTGCCTTCTTTCCTCTGCTGAGTGGTTCTGAGTGTCTGAAGGTCTCTGGTGCCTGTACGTCCAGCTGGCTCCTGGTTGGTCAGTAGCTTGTCTCATGGGCTCTGGGTAAGCTACTCTTCCATTGGGGAGATCTTGCTGTTCCCCTTCCCTCTTACCGGTTGAGCCTCACTGTCTCCTCTAATAAGGCCTTGGTCAAGCCTTACCCCGAAATGTCCTCATCAGAATTCTTGAAACTATCCAGAAATAAGACCATCCTATAAAAATATCTTCCCTTAAAAAAAATATGTGTGTGTATGTCTTATCTTGGCTGGAGAGATGATGGTTCAGTGATTAAGAACTCTTTCGTAGGACCTGAGTTCAATTCCCAGCACGCATTTATGTGACTCATGACTGTAACTCCAGCTCCATGGGCTCTGCAGACACCTGCACTTGAGTGCACATATACATACACATCATTTAAAATAAGAAGTGGGGAGTGGAGAGATGGCTCAGCCATTAAGAGCACTTGCTGCTCTTGTAGAGACCCAAGTTCAGTTCTCAGCAACCATGTAGAGTGGTTCACAACTGCCTATAACTCCAGCTCCAGGGGATCCAACCCCTTCCTCTGGCCTCTGCACACACCTACATACTTTTGGCAGACACACACACAAACACACACACACACACACACACACACAAATAAATAATATTTAAGTAAATATTTAAAAAAAATAATAAAATAAGGACTGGAGAGAAGATGGCTCAGTAGTTAACTCTTCTAGGGGGCCTGAATTCAGTTCCTAGCACGTACATCAGATGACTCACAGCTGCCTATAACTTCAGGTCCAGGGGATCTGAATTCCTCTTGTCCTCTGCAGGCACCTGCATTTGCCTGTACAGAGACACACATACATGCACATAATTTAAAATAAGGGACTGTAGAGATGGCTCAGTGGTTAAGAGCACTTGCTGCTCCTGCAGAGGACGCAGGTTCAGTTCTCAGCACCCACATGGAGGTGGTTAGAACTCCAGTTCCAAGGGATCGACCGTCCTCTTCTAACCTTTTTGGGTACCTGGCACCACATGTGGTGCACTTACATGCGTGTAGGCAAAATACTCATGCATATAAAGAAAACATAAATTAAAAATAAATCCATTGTTTAAAAAAAAATCTTATCTCAGCAACCAGTGGATTTGAGAGTTAGGTGGTCAGAAGTAAAATTTTAGTCTTCATAGAAATAATAGCATTGGTATTTTGCACATGTATGGTGTCTGGTGGCTGTTTCTCCTGACACTTGGTGCATATCAGGGTCACTCAGTGATCAGTGAGTGACAGAGCCCATAGTATTGTTCCTGGGGAGCAGGCTACATCATAACCCCTTGTTAGTGAAAGGGCTCAGGGTCCACACTTTTAATCAAAAACAGTAAAATAATACATTGTTCAGAACTGTGAAAACAATTGCCAAAGACTCTTTTCTCCCTGTGAGTTTAGTAATAGCAAAGAATTTGGCTTCCCCCGTTCCCTCCAACCTGTCTTTTATATTAGCAGATACTAGAAAAGATATTATAAAACCCTTGTAGCTTTGTTTTTGTTTCTGTTTTTTTGACCTCCTTCTCTTTGAAGTCCTAATTTGTCTAATCCTAAATTTATTTGGTGGGTTTTCCAGTGAATATATTCTTTTTTTTTTGGTGGATATGTGAAAGAAATTTTTGCACAAAAATGGACAGGGAAATCAGTGTAATGATGCTTGCCTACAGTCAATAGCTCTGGCCTGTAAAAGCAGCTTTCGCTAGGGAAGTAGGATTGCTACAAGGTCAAGTTCGACCTGGTCTACTTTGTGAGCTCCAAGCCAGCTAGGGCTACATAGCAAGATCATGTCTCAAGCCTCCTCACAAATGTGTTTTGGGGTTAAGTGGCCTCATACCCCACACCTCATAATAGTTTATCTTATTTTAACTCAAACTGTCTCTTATGGGAATGGTGCTGT